TTCACTTGCCGTTTCACATATTTAAATGATTTCTGGAATAGCAGCGGCTCATACCGCGACTGGGTTGCCATATATCCAGCGAATGTTGCAAATCCATTGCAACCATCCACCTGGTTATACTTGCTTGCTTGTTACAACTCTGTAATCGCCGGCAAGCCGGCAACTGTCGCAGAATTCCCATGCCTAAGCGCGGGACATTATCGTGTCGGCTATTTCAGTGCATATAAAAACTCTCTACAGGGTCTGTCAGATATCTTTGAGGTAGAATCTGTAAGATAATATATATCTCTGTAATCACTGAAGTACAACAGTCTTCTTTCAAAGTAGAAGGTGTAGTCTGTGGGAGACAGTAGTGTGACTGTCGCAGTTTGCTTCACTCACTGTTTGCGTCAAAACTGACCGTTATATTCCAGGCCCCTTCAATAACTGTGCAATTCTAAACGTACAGGTACCATTGTACTTTATTGATCTGCACCGTTTAGTGCTACTGACTGTATTGTTCATAAGCAGTGTGCTTTAAAATAGCTTTTTTGCATTTTATTTCTGTTTCAAGTACCACAATTTGCTACCTTGTACATATGCAGCGTGTAAATTATCAAGATTACATAGCTAGTTGCTTTTATGCGTTTTTTGCAGCTATGCAATGCAAAAACGCATATTATCGAGGTGTTGTCTGTGTATGTGTTTCTGCGTGTGCGTCTGCAGCGATCGAGATCCACAAAAGTTGCAAGGCTGAAAATTTGGTGACTTAATCTATACACACGTGCGGGCTCGTATCCTCAAAGTGGACGCTCAAATCCGCGTGGTTCTCACGTAGGGGTACGTGAAAGCTTTTTGGCGAGAAAGCGTTTTCGAAAACGACCCACGCTAGGAGGATGGAACTTCACAGAGATGTTCCTTGGCCGCATCTAATCCAAAGATTTTGAATTCCGCCTTCACGCACTCCCAGGTCTCACGTACGCACACGTCAAAGTTTAAGCTGGCATCACACCAACTCCAGATTTAAGGTGATCAATAAGCTGCAGAGAGCTGCAATTTTGCAGCTTTGCTTGTCGCCTACTGTTGTGCCTGTGAAAGTAAATTACTTGTCAGCTTTTCTGCATCTCACGTACTAACACGTGAAAATTTCACGCATGCGCTTTTGTAACTTCAGAATTGAACCATCCGGTGGGCCTGGACTCCCTGAGCATAACCGGCGATAGCCTTTGACCAGGTACACGCAAAAACGACATACGGCACTTTTATGTCTCACGTGTGTTTAATGTGCACACGTGAAATTTGACGTAACCCCGCAGCCAGAGCAGCTTGAGTGCTGAAAGTTTCTGAGCGCTACCCAGGAACGTGTTTGACCAACCGCGGGCAAAGAAAGCACTTACATTGCCACTCACGTACGTACACGTGAAATTTGACGTAATTCTGCAACCAAAGCAGCTTGAGTACTGAAACTTTCTGAGCACTACCTAGGGCCGTGTTTAAGTAACCGCAAGCAAACAAAGCACTCACGTTGCTACTCACATATGAACACGTGGAATTTGGCGTAACTCCACAACCGAAGCATCCAAAGCGCTGAATTTTTTGAGCATGAATTGGAAGTCATTGTAATAATTTCTAACAGTCATGGTGGCCAGTCACAATTCTTTTGGCTAGAAGCATCTGCCGAGAAAGAGCGTGCCACGGGCGAAAAAAACCTATGGGAGAACTGTGCAAAAAATGCATCCTCGTACCGGTAGCCGATACGCTTTCGACTAAGTTTATCAGTGCAGTGGATGTACAGTTACTTTTGATGAAAACTATAAAATTTTTCAACGCTTTATACGTCACATTTTGAAAACAATCTTAAATGATTAATATTTTTGAGGTACATTATGAGGAATGACATGCAAATCCTGAAGATCTCATAGTGCAGCCATTCTTCTAAAAACAGTTGGAATGACTTGAAAAGATAGTAGAATATTAATAATTCAAGATTATGCATAGCGAGGGATAAAAATGACCAACAGTATTGAAAGCGACTGGCTTTAGAGAAAATGCCTGCTCGCTCAATTTTCCGTGCCATTCCGTGTTCGTGTTTAGACTAAAAATAAGAATAATCAAGTTCCAACCTTGGACAAAATAGCAGAAAAGTGGAGAAAGAGCGACATGATTTAAAAGTTTCACCGAACTGTTGGTAATCACAGTGGCGCGAACAGCTGAGCAGGCGAACATTCGCCAGATGATCTGCCCATATAAGATAGGATGGACCAGTGACAGTACTTTTGCATCGGTTTCATCAGTGGCGAACCAGACCAGCGTGGATCATCGGGGAAGAACGCTGCAGTGACTGCAGCGCAGCCAGAAGTGGCAGTATATTGTATTTTGGTGTTTTATGCAGGATAGGGTTGAAGAGTGTACGGAAACCTGTACTGTACTGG